TGAAATGTAACATTTCTACTGCAACAGTTATTCTATATTTACTTATCACCTACTGCCCCCTACGCCGTGAGGCAAGTATTAAACGAGCTGAGCGTCTGAACTGAAGTTCTCTGTATTCAAGCCTAACGTGGTTCAGTGGAAGTAAAGCTCTTTCAAGGCAGGGTGTGTAAATAACAACATGTGAATAAATCTGCTGTTTTGTTTTCCATTTTGGCAGTATTTGCTGCTCACGTCAACACGATTCAATTGACTGTAGTTGACATTCAATAGTAAACGCATCACAAATGAATCTTAGAGTGAAGTCTGTTCAAAGCCACGGCTGTACATCGTCACTGAAACAACTTTGACTCGCTGCCCTCATTAACTGTACATTAACCGCAACGCCGTCATTACATTATCCATAATGCTCTGCTCTAACGAGAATTCCCGTTCAAAGAGACTCAATCTAATTTTCTCCTCCGCACTCATCAGTGTTTTGTTTAAGTCCTAATTACATCCTCAGAGTGGGCCTTGATTGCGGGAGAGAAAGCCTAATCCACACCTGACATCGGAGAGTCATAATGAAACCCTAATACTGTGCATGTGCAAACGTGTGACATAAAAGAAGAATCAGGTCACGTCCCATGATTACCGACGTGAAGAAATGAACTCATATTTCACTACATAGGAAATTAAGCGCATACATGCATAAACATGGGAAATCATGTCTTCAACAATGACGAGCGGTGAAATTCATAATGTGGATGGTTAAAATTGTGAGAGGGAGCGTAATGAATGTTGGCAAACCAGGCATGGTGTCATGAGAGGAAGTGACAGCTCCTGTAAAAACATTAGTGAAGCTGCAGAGGAGATGGTGATGGATTATTTAAAAAGGCCATGGAGATGAATGGGCCACAGTCCTGACTGTGTTTGAAGAGACGTGCAATTTGTATTTCATTTAGAAAGTGTAGGACTTCCATTATATCACAGGGTCAACTCATCTATTGAAAACCTGAGCTGAGCAGCGGTGAAAACACTGGATCGTTTTAAATCTGAGCATCTGGGGGAAAAAAAGCTTTGTTTACAGCATGTTTGACAAAAGATCTTCACCTAACGTCAAGTGCAACGCTGAGTTTAACAAACCTCAGCTGAGTAGATTATTCTTGCTGACTGCCTTTTTTTTCCCCCTCAAAATGTGAAATAAAATTATATTAGTACGTACAAAGACAGAGTACAAAGGTCCGATAACCAGTATTTATCTGAATCCCGGGAATCCCATTTTATAACCAACAAGGCTAAGACAAAACTGCATAAAGAAAAGTACAGTAAAATAGAGATAAAGACGATGGTTAAAAAGAAGCCTCTCCTCATTAATGTGTTCCCGTGTGACATTCAAGCTATCAATGCTGATGAAGTAAATTAAATATTCATAGAAATGTTTTAATGTAAAAAGTTTCTGCCTCTTAAGAATCCCAGAGAGGACGCTCTCAGTGAAGCTAAACCTTTGATCCACTCTTGCTGCCAGTAAAAAAGAAAACAGCAGCTTTTGCTGTTAGCAAGCTAAAAGGATAGTCTGAATGCCAACAAGTTAGTCTGAATGCTAACAAGTTAGTCTGAATGCTAACAAGTTAGTCTGAATGCTAACAAGTTAGTCTGAATGCTATAGTCTGAATG